TGGTTCCCCTGACAGAAGACAGTCCTCCACAAACTTTCTTTGACATGAGTCCCTCCCATGGGTTGAAGCGCTTCCCGAGCTGCTCTGGCATGGGACACCCCCACATGCTGCAATCCTCCCAGCGCCGAACTACAACAGCAGGGGCTGCTTCTCCCCACAGAGTCCTGGCCTCCTTCAGGCACAACCACCTGCTCTGGCATGGGGTCCTCCACAGGTTGCAGGTCGGCATCTGCTCCATCGTAGATCTCCATGGGTGTCAGGGAGGGGATGGCCCCTGCTGTCTCACCATAGGATACAGAGGCTCGGCACCAGCACACCCCTCCCCTGCCTTTCCTCTTCCATTCTTCCACTGACCTTGCTGTTCACAGAGATGTTGCAACTCCTCCTCACAACTCCAACTCCTCATCCTAGGTTCACCTTCTTAAATACTTTATCAAAGAGGCGCAGCTAATTGGCTCAGCCTTAGTGCAGAGGTGCGTTCAACTTGAAGCCAGGGGAGCTTCGAGAAACTTCTCACAGGGGCCACCGCTGTAACTCCCTCCTCTGCTACCAAAAACCCCACCACACACACAAACCCAGCACAGTTTAGAAATACGACAGAGTTGAATAACTGAATCCCTGTCAAAAGAGTTGTACTTTTGGGCACATCCTGGAAGAGCATGATAGGTACCTACACTGAAACCTGCTTCAAAGCTGTCTTTCAGACGGTCCTGAATTCGTTTTAAGATTCCTGGCAGAGTTGACATAGTACATCTGTGAGCATACTGGATCACAAGTCTCTGATGAAACACATGACAGCATTCAATATCCGTTGGGGTTGGCTAGGCACTGGAGGCTTTGCACCCAGGTATATCCCATTGCTGAAGTTCAGAGGATTTCTCTGAGAGCAGTTGGTTACAAGCTGCAAATAATTTCAGTTCTGAGGCAGTTAAGCGTGATGTCACACCCCAGAATGCCCTAAAGTCCTTTGAGTCTTTAGTCTCCTTGAGGAGTACTAAGGGGTAAGGCCAGTCATTGTCATTTTACATCAGCAAGGCTCCACTTAGTAAAAAAATATTCTCCCATAGGTAGACTCAGGGTCTCAATAGCACAAGCCCACTACAGAAGAGCCATAAGAAGGTAGAAGCTTACATAAACTTTCAGGAGGAGACCAGCAACAAACGTATGTATGCACTTTCCAAAGCCTATACACAGCAGGAAAGGCAGTACACCAAACTTCATTAAACACTTACTATGAAAGAACTCCAGGATATAATCAGCACTTTTTTGCTCAGGAATCTCAAAGACAACACAGGTCAGAGCTGCAGGGGATCTGACAGAACTGTGTGGGAATACCTGCATGCATACATTCTCTGGTGGGTGCTGTCAGTCTCTCATTTTCCTAGGCAATAAATGGGGGGAGAAGTTGGGGGACGGGGCAGGGAAAATAAATCACCATTTCACTCTTTCCCTTTACTTCTGCTCCACAAGAGCAAAAATAAAAAAAAAAATAATAAAAAAAAAGAGAGAACACTGTCGCAGAGATCAAAAGCCTTTTTCTACTGGCTCTGACCTAGTTCTTTCATTCTTACTAGAGGGGAAAAAAAACACTTAAAGCAACATTGTCAAAACTGTTAGTTCTAAAAATAGACTTACCTTGGCAGTGCTCCCATCTAGATGGGCTCATATTAAGGAGTGAAAACTCACTTTCCCCATACACACCAATCTTTTCATCAGTCGGGAAGCACTGGTACTATGCAGCCCAAAGGACCTCCCAGTCCACAGTCTCATTTGGGACACTTAGATATGTATTATATATAACTGGCAAGGAACTGTAGTATCCTCCAAATTCCTATTTCATATTTGTAAATCCATCGCTGTCAGTTATCCCAGTAAAAAATTTGGGATATTTTCCTTAAGCAAACTGCTGGATATTTGTTGCCATAACTAAACTCCAGCACTCCATGCTAAGACAGCGTTAAAAAAAAAAACAGATTTGAGGAAAAGTTCAACAGTTTGTTAGGTAAAGTGATATTAGAATTTTTTGAAGATTCTTCACAAACTAGAAGTTACAAAATATTTTCACTTTAGCCACACAGAGCATTTCTGAAAGGAGAAACAAAGAGTCTCTGGGTCGTGGCAGAGGCTGACAAACGGGCGGTTTCCACAGAACAATAGCCGTGGCGGAGCTGGTGGGGCAGCGGATGTTGGCTGCAGCCAGGAACTTCCATGCTCCAGGATCCATGGTTCCCTTGTGCCCCAGGGACCTCTCCACTCCCTGCCAGTTGCATCCCAGAGCCAGCCACTTCACACAAGAAGCCAGTTGGCCCAGCTGTCCAGAAGCCTTAAAGGTCTAAAGATGCAGGAAGCCCATCCTAGCCAAGCTCCCAGCTGACTACCACAGAGACTGGAAGGCCAGACAACCTCAGCTTAAACCAGATTTTCAGGGCTTTCCGTATTTCCAAGTTTACAGAGCTGATGTACAGCAGGTTATACTCTTGAGAGCCTAAGCAGCAAACCCGGAAAACATTCTTCCAATGAAAACAAACAAATCAAAGAACGAGGAAGGGGAAAAAAAAAAAAAAAAAAAAAAAGGCAGTCTGTGTTTCCTGAGTCCGAGACATTTTGATTTCAGAAAATTGGCATTTTTCTACAAAACTATCAATTTAGAAGATTCAGCGGCAACTTTACTTTCAACTAGAGTAGGAGCTGCACACTGTGGTGATCAATCAGAGCCATGAAGGACAAGTAACCTCTCAGCCTCCCAAACAGAAGCTGTAATGTCACGTTACCTGCCAAAAGTCACAGTTTATGAAAAGAATGCGGTTCACACCCAGGGCTCTAATACAGCAGAAGATGCATTAAGATAAAAGCACACTTTTAAGCACAGTCACACAAAGACGCAGTTCCAACAGAAAATGATGGATAAGAAAAGGCCTTAAATGTGCACGCACTATGTACATACAGAGTAGTCACAGTTGCACGGCTACCTGTGCTGAAGAAGTAGTAATCTTGCTGTGCTAGTGTGAGGGTAACAGAATTATGCAAAGGCAAGAAAGTTGAGGGAGAAAAACCCAAAACAGGAGGAAAGCAAAACATACAGACAAGAAAGTCTTTTTTGAGAGGCCATAGCAAGGATGAATCCTGAGGGAAAGAAATGGGAAGAAGGAGTTAAAAGAAAAAATCCCATCTCAGGAGAAGGGAAAGGAACTGCTTCCCAAAGCTTTAGCAGAGCTTTCCTTCATTAATATTTACAAAGCTTTTAGAGATTCTCACGATGGAAGGCACTGCAGATATGACAGGAATTATTACAAAACTGAAAAGATCTAGCAAACAGACTGAGAAGGACTTCAAGTGAATAAAGGAGGATGAGATTAGAGAGCACACTGGAACAGGGGTTGCTGCTGGCATATGAACCATCTGGTGCACGGCAGTTCATTTCATTTATTTACCCCCTACCACGCACGCATGCCCAATTCACATTGCTAAGTTTTTACCACCAAAGAAGCAATGTTTTTATGCAGGACCACTGCCTTCCTTCTTTATGTCATTACAGTCTTCAAAACTGCCATTCAGTACAGCAGCCTGTGCGTAAGAAATCTGGCTGACTAGTGGAAGGGCTTAAGGCTGAGGATGGACAACTTTGGATGTACACAGACATCTTTTGAGACATAGTGGTTTTGTTTGCCCTTATTTGAGTTTGCCTAGGAAACTGTTTTTCAGGGATGTCAAGCTGCCTACTATCTTCAGTAAGCCCAAGTTTCTGCTGGACTATCATTTGTGCTGCTCACTTGGGTACTCAGCAAATGACAGCTTTTTCAGCATGAGTTTCAGCAATAAAGCAAGTGGTCTCTGATGGAACTGTAGAACTCAGCATATATGAGAAACAAAGCTTGAGGTGGTCTCAAGATGAACACCCCCCCACCCCCCAAAAAAAAAAAAAAAAAAAAAAAAAAAACACCACCAAGAAAACCAACATACTGAAATTAAGCATAGGAGAGGGGTCAGATGGCTGGTTTTCACATTGTGGACTTCTGAAACTTTTCCAAAGGGCACAGAAGAAAGCAAGAAGGGACACAAACACCAGGATTCTCAATGCCTCGTTCTAAAGCACTAGAAAACCGAGTGAATTTTGGAAGCGGACAGCAGGGAAGTGGATTGATTTGCCTTTTCCCACACCCCTAGTCACATCTCTCTGCCAACTTCCCGAATGCCCCATGGAAAGGGCACACGCAGCCAACGCCAGACTGCCACAGGAGCGGAGCATCTCTTGGAAGACCTCAGCAAAGCGCCCATCCTCCCAGATCTTGGTAGTCACCACCTCAATTACCGGGTACTTCCCCAGGAGCCGGGCACCCCACGAACACCTCACGGCTCCCCAGCAGCCGAGCACCTCGGCCCTTAGGCGTCTGCATCTCCTACGAGGGGATAGGAGGGGCCGAGCGCACCCCGACGCCGACAGCTCTGCGCCCACGCGGGAGCGCGGCGGGGGGCTGCCTGAGCTTCGTGGGTATGACGGCCTCTGCTTTGGGCGGCACCGAGGGACGGCGGCGCCGGGGCTCCTGCGGGAGACCGGCGGCGAGGCGGAGAAGACGCCGGGCGGGCTGAGCGGGGCCGCCGGGGCAGGTCTGCCGCCCCCGCCGGGAGAGGCGGCACCTCCGGGCCCGCCGGGAAGTTGCCGGACTGAAGCCTCCGGCTGCCGCAGGCTGCGCCGGGCAGCCCCCCCCGCTGCCTCCCTCCGCGGCCCGACCCCACGCCACCTGGCCCGGGGGGCGGGCGCGGCGCTGGGGGCGGCCGGGCCGAGGGGCGCGGAGAGGCGGCCGGGCACCCCGCGGGCGCGGCCGGGGCGGCGGGCGGCAGAGCGGCCCCGCCGCCGCCGCCGCCTCAGGCCCCGCTCCCCACGCATCCCCCTCCCGTCGAAGCCGGGGGCCGGCCCCGCCGCGGCGCAGGTGAGTGCCCGGGGGAGGAGACAGGGGGAGGGACCCCCGGGGGCGGCAGGCGGCGGAACGCGGAGCCCTTACCTTCCACCGCCATCCTCCCGGCCTCGCATAGTGCGGCGGCCGCCGAGCCGGCCCCGGCGGCGCTGCCCCGGCCGCGCGCGGGCTCCGCTCATCTGCAGCCGCGGCGATCAACCTGCCGCGCGCCCGCTGACAGCCGGGCGGGGCCGCGCGCCCGCCCCGCCGCACCCTGGGAAACGTAGTCCCGGCCGGCCGCCGGCTGCGGGGGGAAGCGGCTGAGCCCGAGCCCCGCCGGCAGAAAGCGGCGTCACCGGCGCGCTGGGGTTTTTCTGTTGCGGTGTTTTCAGTCACTGCGACTTCTCACCGGACACTGGGGTGTCGGGCAGTCCCGCCCCAGTCCTTATCCCGCTGCTCTCCCTGGCGCAGCCGGAGGCGGTTTGCCGTAGGGAAGGAGAAAGGCACACAGAGAGCATCGGGAACTTCCCGTTATCACCTCATCCCGCAGTGAGGCCCTCAGTCTTTCACCAGTCTTTCTCCATTACTCCAGCAATGTGTGCTCACAGCCCAGAAAGCCAGCCGTCTCCTGGGCTGCATCAAGAGGAGCGTGGCCAGCAGGTCCAGGGAGGGGATTCTGCCCCTCTAATCCGCTCTCAGGAGACCCCACCTGCAGTGCTGGGTCCAGCTCTGGGGCCCCCAGCATTAGAAGGACATGGACCTGCTCAAGTGGGTCCAGAGGAGGCCACGAAGGTGACCAGGGGGCTGGAGCACCTCCCCTGTGAGAACAGGCTGAGAGAGTTGGGGGTGTTCAGCCTGGTGAAGAGAAGGCTCCAGGGAGACCTGATAGCGGCCTGCCAGTGCTTAAAGGGGGCTACAGGAAAGGTGGGGAGGGACTCTGCCAGGGAGTGTAGTGGTAAGACAAGAGGTAACCATTTTAAACTGGAAGAGGGCAGATTAAGGCTAGATATAAGGAAGAAATTCTTTACTGTGAGGGCGGTGAGACACTGGCACAGGGTGCCCAGAGCAGCTGTGGCTGCCCCCGACCTGGAAGGGTTCAAGGCCAGGTTGGACGGGGCTTTGAGCAACCTGGTCTGGTGGGAGGTGTCCCTGCCCGTGGCAGGGGGGCTGGAACTAGATGATCTCGAAGGTCCCTTCCAACCCAAACCATTTTATCGTTCTACGATTCACTGTCTTTATCCTGTTTGACTCTGAAAGGTTGTTCAAAAAATCCAGAAAATTAAGGAGATTAGGGACACAGTTCTGGAGCCTTTACTTCAGGTCCTCAAAAGTCTTATGCCAAACAACCTGGTACCCTTGAGATCTGTCCTGAAATGTTGGCTGTCTGAAAAACAGCTGTGGGTTTGTACCCTTTTCAGTTTCATTTTGAGATATCAAAAAGGTTTTGAAGATTTTTCTCCTTCAAAAATACCATTTTGTTTTGTTTTGTTTTAAATGTATCGTCAAATATTAACATACCCAGAAAGTCTGTGAGTTCCTTCACTCACAAAAATTATATTGTTACTAAAATCAAGAGGATAACAGCAGAGGGACTGAGCAGACAAGGGCAAATACAGGTAGGGTGTGAAAACATTTTCATGTGTTCTTTTTGTTTGTTAGGATTGGCTATGGAATCTAATAAGTGTTATTCATGACAGGTTATTTTTGACAAAATAACCTCCATGAGTTCAAATTAGAATGCAAGAACATACAACGTGCAAATGAATAAGGTCTTAATAAACCCCAGGAATTTTTACATTCTTGAAATATCTAAAATAATTAAAATAAAATTGGGTCTTCATTACTTATGAGGGAAAACCAGAGCCTGTACACAACAGCCTTAAAGCCCAGTTCTTTCCTGAATCCTTCTATTACCAGCTTTGCCCTGAAGACCTCACTTGTTCTTTGCTCTCATATGCATTTGAACTGTTATCCTTTGTGTTGTATATGAGTCAAGATACAAGCTTCCTGGGGCAGCAGCCTTGTCTTTCACCTGTTTGCAAGCGTTAGGCATACTCACAGTGCATTATAAATAATAACGATTGAGGACATGTGCTGGTATTCCCAAGGGCAATACAATCACACATCTGATCCCATATGTTGGGAGAAATGCACTGATATTCACATGCTTTCTGTCAAGAAAATAGGGTGTTCCTAGATTTCAGTTTTCAAATATGTGTAATACACACATACAAACTTCAGCAGTTTCTTTTCAACATCACTACATAAGTTTTTGTGATTTTAGTGACATTTTGTATTAAGTTTATGTCTTCAATCGTTAATCATTTACTTAATCATGACAATATTTGGAGGTATGTTAGAGTAATTAAGTGGCTAATACATACATGAAGCAGTACTTTCTTGGTTAGAATGAGTTGGAAGCCACAGAGTGAGTAAATCAAGGCTCTGAGTTAGAGCGGCATGGACATGGAGAGCTGGAATACTATCCCCATTAGCATGCTGAATTTCTGACTGGTAACTACATTTCAGCTGTGGGCCCTGAGGACATCCCTAGTGAGTACAATTTTACTAAGCCCTTTAAACAGCCCTGTAGTTTTTAATTACGACTTTGTGCCTGCTGAAGAACAGCAAAATTATGGCTGTGACTAGATAGCAAATAGGGCATGACAGATGTTAAAAAGTGTAGTGTTTGATACCTAGTGTTACATGATAGCTAGTGAAACCTAGTATTTAACGGTATATAAGAACATCAGAAACTCCTCAAATTCTGGTCAAGACTAGGCAAATTATAATTTAATGTATGTCACTCATTAGAGAAAAGAGGCTGTAAATTGATTCAATTAATCTATGCTAAACTACAATCTGTTTTCAGCAGAGCTTTCAAAAACATCACTGAGCGCGAGCTAACTTTCTAAAAACACCCTGCTAAATTACAGAGTAGAAAAAGACGGGCTTTCTCTGCTCAGAAAGAGCTATCTCATCACACTTCCTTGCTTTCTTGATTCTCTTTTTACCTTGCCCTTCTCCAGACAGGTTTATTCCAAAGTTTCTCTTAAAAGTGTAGCAAACTCCCTTTAAACAGACTTGGTTTGTCACAGCCAAAGTCAATTTGCTGTGTACTTTGCCCTAGGTCACCAGATGAAATAAGCAATACTGACCAGAGGCTTCTTAGCTGTTCGAATTATTTCTAGGTAGGACTTCTGCCAGCTGACATTAGATGAAAGTACATCCATCAACAGCATTGCTTTACTGTAAGAGTTCTAAAGTCTAAACAAGATGTTAGACTTGTATACTTCACTACACTACCATCCATCATCATTTTTCCCTTTTTATTTCCCTTTCACCTTACAGAAATTCAACAGCCATTAAGCTTTAAGCATTCCTTTGTGCTTCTAAGTCCTTTCTGTAGAGCATAGTGAAATTCTCACTCGTCTTCATCTGATGATCTGGTTAATGAGATGCTCCTGCCTTATCATTGTGACCCAGGATTTTCAAACATGATTAATTATTTTGGGTGCCCAAACACATGTGCACAGAGCCACTTTTCAGGGACAGTTGAAAAAGCATCTGAAAATCATTGAATTGACCTTAGGTCGGGCACCAAGTGTCTCTGGCAGTGAAGAGCATTACAGCCATGACTGAACATTTTTGGCTGTGATTCGCTTAGCTGAATGAGATTAAACTGTGATGGTGAAATTAAAACCTTTCGAAGTTCAACATCAAACTCCACTGTGACAGAAATAGCCCTATCACAGGACCATCCTGCCTGCCTACCGACTCAGTACCTAGATTCTTATATTGCCTTGCGAATTGCTGGGAAAGAGTACATGGAAATCGGTGGGTTTTTTCAGAGATAACTGATGATTAGTACATTTAGATTGGGGGGAGGTGTGGGAGGATCATGCACAGGACTATACAGACTCGATATTGATGGGGAAGAAGTGGGGTTTTCCATTTCAGTATATCTGCCAGTACTGAGGGCTGGAATAGGAGGAGGAAAGGGCTGTACAGTGGTTCACTCACACTCTCAGCACATGCCCTAGTGCACAAGCTGCACTTATTTGGTAATGCAAAACAAGGAAGTTTCAGCAGAAATTTTATGGACACTACCGTGTAGGAGTTAGCTGGAAATTCAGGTGTGGAAGCGATAAGTAGGGAATTCCTGTCCAGTTCCCCTCCATTTGTCAGAGCTAGCCACATGGCTGGAAAAACAGCCTGAGGGATACTGCATGACAGATCTGGAGTGAGAGGAGGAGGATAGTGTCGAGTTAGTATGCATTCTCTTTTTTGCTGCAGGAAGTGACATTTCCTGAGAAGACCTGCTGAGTCTCACTCAAATACCTGAAAGGCATGGGAAAGAAAATGCTAGGTGCGTTGCTGATTTTTTTTTTTTCAGTATCCAACTTTGTGATGTTAATGTTCTGCAGAGTTTCAATTTTAAAAGAAAAAAGTGCTCTGTAACTCAACTAAGCATCTACTGAAAAAAGAAGAGAAACCAATTTTAGATATGCCCCATGCTCTGATCCATAGAGAGAGATTCTTATGCTTGTATGGATCCAGTCTTACCATCACTCAATGAACCAAAGTACACTATGTGTTAAAGTGTAAACACTAATGTTCAGAAGCAGTTTTCTGGGGTCTGAGAATGACATCAGAAGAGCTATTAGGCAGGGAGGCTGCAGTCTGCCCCAAAATAGAATAAACATGTTTAATATATATGTAATATGAGTTTAACAGTGTCAGTAAGGCACTGAAAAGCGGGTTTTAGTAGTGTAGTAGTGTGATTGCATAATAAATATTCTTTGTTTATATTATTGCTGAAATATACTTTGAGTATTGTTTATCTTACCTATATTCCCTTATTTTCAAAACTGTTTTGCTTGATAATCCATAATACTACAGGAAGTGCATTTGGGGGGGTCTGTAGGAGACTCAGAAAAGATCATAGGATGTCTTCAAGGTGTATTTCATCATTGTTGCAATTTCTGGTATTTTCTCTAATTTTGTCTTTTCAGTAATTGATTTATATATTCTTAAATATATTAAATATTTATATATTCTTAAATAGCCGATGTCCTCTGCTTTTAGTTGCAAGGAAAAAAGATTGAATTTGAGTGTTAAAATACTCAGAAAATCCATAGAATTTATTATGGTTTATTTCATATGATAGAAAACTGGGGAAGGGAAGCAGATGCATTAATATGGCCTGTACATATCTGAGGCAGACAGCTGTATATACAAATATCTATCCCGTTATAAGTG